AAAAATTTTATTCTTTAATAAATAGTAAGTTGTGCTTTGTTTAATTTGTAACATATATAGATGTAGGTAGATAAAATCAAATGTTATATGATAGCGATTACCATAAAACACTGTCCGTGGCCCCAAATGAGGCTCCTCAACGGTTAGGGGTTCGGGGGTAGTACGCACCGGACCCAATAAAGGTAAGAACTTAATAACTATGGTATACTAGCATTAATATGTAATTTTACCGGGCATAAAGGCGAGGGTATCAATTTTAAAAGTAAAACTCTGCTTGTAATGGCTCTCACTCTCAGTATTAGATTAACTTTAATATAAAAAAAAAACACGCACACACACACACACACACACACATAGAAATCGGGCTCTATATAATATTTACTATCCTGAAAGTCGACAAAGCTGAGTTTTGGAGGAGGAGGATAAATTAGAGGGTCATATCAATTAGACTCGAGAGATTTCGACACAGTTTTTAATTGGTGAACGGAGACGCCCTCTCTGACTGCATAAAGTGTAACTCTGTATCGGATTACCGGTCGGTCTTCAGGGATTTATGGCATATTTATATTCTAATTGGTAACACTAATTGGCGCAGTTCAAGTATCTGTCACAGATGATGACAAGCTCAAATTAATAATTAGATACATAGAAATAAATTTTCTGTGATTATTAAATATTTTACAAGTATATGAAGGAGGTGTGGGAGAGCGGAAAAATTGTCAAAAAACAAAATCGGTGAGCTGAGATCAAATTCCGGCTTAGGTGGTTTACTTCGCACTAATGCTCTTGGGGTGGAACGGTTACCGACGCGGAAAATGGAATCGTCGGTCCGAGTTCGCATTCCAGCTTAATGTTTTACGTTCACCTACGTACACATACGTACACATACATAAAGACATGAGCATCTTCATCTAGCTATTGATTAAGTAACAGGTCAGACAGGATACATTAACCTTGGGTGGAAATCTGTATAACATAAGTCAGTCAGTTATGTGCCATAGTTAAGTGCCATCAACAGGCAGGTTAGGTTTAAGGCTCCATTCAGAATTGTCCCATGGGGCAATAGTCTAGTGTATTAAAGCGTTGGTTCGTGGATTTGGTGACATGGTAATTGATTAGTTCGATCCCAGTTACTGAGCGGTATTAGATAAGAACAGGATAACGCATCCCTAGACATGATCAGAGGAATGAGAACAATCTGTCGTCCCTAGATTAAATAAAGGGCTCAAATTGAAATTCCCTGAAGACTGCCTGAACCGACAAGTACCCAATGAAGGCCGTAGTGCAAAACAACTGAAGCGTTGAAATCATAACAAAGATGAGGACAATATTCTGTATGTAAAAAATGATAAGAAATTAATATTCAATAATTTCTTTTTTGCTTCTGGAGCTCCTATCATTTGCTTGGTTACTTATTTACGCATTATTATGTATGCTTTTATTAGCACACTAAAGCAAGAAACATGTCTAATAGAAGATATATTATATCTCTAATATATATTTTTCTTCAGCTTTTCCCCGCTATCAAATATATAAATATATATATATATATATATATATATATATATATATATATATATATATATATATATGAGGAGGCACTGTGGAGTAAAAAGATAGCGGCATTGAGGAATCGGAGAGCCGAGTTCGAATTCCAGTCGAATCCAGTTACATTCACTTCCGTGCTAATACCCTTGGGAAAGGTGTGAATCCTCATCTTCTCCTTTCAGCTATGGGTAAATATGGATGGCAACTGGTCTAGGAGAAGGACAACTCTGAATTCAAAACCTGCGGAGGGTCGTTTGGGGACCTTGTTGCACATAGTGTACCAGGTCTCTGTATTCGGTCCTTCAAAAGTGTGGATGGCCCTGCACAAAACCTTCACCACTATAATCAAATCTCATGTGCTGTTGTCGGGCTGTCGGTTTCCTAGGAACTGATCTGCTTGACCCTCATACGTCGAATTTGACGGGAGAGTCGAATAATATATATATATATATATATATATATATATTATTCGACAAAATCGTAATCAGGTGATCTACTAATATATATATATATATATATATATATATATATATATATATATATATATATATATATATATATATATATATATATATATATATATATATATATATATTAGTAGATCAGCCGATTCTTATTTTTAAGCTAAAAAGTCTGTTGTAGAGTAGTTTCACAGTGGAGGCTTGTATTTCACTAAGTCGGTCTTAAAAAGGTTCGACGTACAAAACGTTAGGAACTCAATATAATAGGTAATGACGCAGTAATCTAGTTGTGGTGGATGATACTTTAATATCCGACTAACAGTCGTCCGACATCGACTGACTGACCAACTCACTGAGCAACCGGTTTTGCTCCCGCTCTTCAGGCTTCCACGGGAGATTCAAAATTAAAACAGAAAAATGTACAATAAGAATAGGTGAAATATATATATATATATATATATATATATATATAAGAAGGAACTAGGGACAGATGACAGCGAGTCCCAGCAAACACTCACGTTGTTTGCACAAAGAAGGCTTGCGGGACCCGATGTAAAGTGCCTCCAGAACCTTAAGATGAAATAAAGAGTGCAACCGGGCCAACACGGTGAACCAGTCAACACTAAATTTGGCTGCACAATCTCTGCTATTTAAAAGATGTTCGCATATGGCGGAACTGTAGGTGTTCGGGACGAGTCCATTCAAAGGCAGGGTGTGGTTTCTAATTGTACAAATACAAGCCTTCACTGTGAAATCACTACATAACAACTTTCGTTCACTACATAACAACTTGGCGACGAGGGATTCGAACTCATACGGAGGAAGAAAAACCTTTCGTACTCTACAACAATATATAGTCTAGCGAGCCAGACAAACGTACCAAGGTTTCACCTAAGCGGATCGTCAGGGAAAGCTGGCTAAAGAGGTAGAGAAAACTGTATACTTATAGGCGATAAACAAAAGACCAAGACCACGTGACCAAACATTAAAAAGTGGGGAAAAAACCCCAAAAAACAAAAACAAAAACAAAAAAAAAAAACAACAACTACAACAATTGGGAGGGTGGAGAAAAAAATTTATTCGGTTTATTTAGGTCTGCTCTACTTTTGTATTGAGCACTTTTTTAGTTGATTACTCGTATCGGGATTTTTTTCTTTGGGCTTTGGACCTGTATGCTGCATGACTATTTTCGACAGACGTTCATGTTCCTAGCTCTTTCTTTTTTTAAAACCTTTTTTCCTTCGAAATTGATTTGATCATTAGCAAATCAAGAAGAAAACGAAGGTTTTCCGAGACGAGTGTAGTTACCTATATATATATATATATATATATATATATATATATATATATATATATATAAGGAAGAAACTTCTGGGGATTTAGAGTAATTATATATACAGTGTAACCCGGATATAAGAGAAACCCGGATATAAGAGAAACCCGGATATAAGAGAGATTTTCTCTGGTCCCAAATTAGAGCCTGTGTTAATGTATATAAAATAGACCAAACCCGGATATAAGAGAAACCCGGATATAAGAGACTTCTTCTCCGGTCCCGACAACTCTCTTATATCCGGGTTTCACTGTAGTAATTCATCGAGCCCAGAATAATTTTCAACAGAATGGGCCTCGGCGATGAAGAAGACACAAACTAGACTCGATATAGCGCCGCTACTGACTCAGTTACGCAGTGATACAGAATAGTTGTATCGAAATGGTCCGGGTTCCATTCTCGGTAGTGGATGCGTACTGCTGATGAGTTCCAAATAGGACGAAACGGCAGTCCAGTGCTTTCTGCATTCTGTTGAAGATTATTCTGGGCTCGATGAATTACTATATCTGATTATTCTAAATCCCCCCCAAATTTCTTCACTTGTATATCCTTGCTTGACCCAGCTAATGCTCGTGTGAAGCGGCTAAGGGTAAAAAAGAAGACGTAGCTCTTTGGGCACTGTTTCGAGGTTATCCGCATACTTGGATGAGTATCTCTGTGAAACTGAGTGAGTAGCGGCGTTATGTCGAGTCCAGTTTGTGTCTTCTTCGTCACTGAGGTACTGTTGGTATGGTGTTTGTGTTGATAAGAGTCGGAGTTAACGCTTAACCCTAGACTTGAACTGGTTAAGATTGGAGTGATCGGAGAAACATCCTCTTGGGAGTCGGGAAGAGTGCAATGACTTCTCGCTGATGGAATACGGAGTGAATGTAGGCGGTTTGCTAGATTATTAGTAGCATGACGGGTCATAGTCGTGAAGGTTAGGTCTGGAATGTAGTTCATCCGAGTAATTTCCATGGTCGTAACGACAGAGTACACATCACCGCCTATGAGAAAGAGAGAGAGAGAGAGAGAGAGAGAGATTGGAAGGTGACAAATAATTCATCACCCAAAAGAACTCGGTGACGCTTTTGAATTCTATCGAGACTGAAAAGCGAGGACTGGGCGGCTCTTATCTAAATATGACAACAGTACTCCGTCCTCGACTTGATCTGTCTCTTGTAAAGATAAAGGACAACATTCGGGGTCAGGTACTTACTAGAGCGGTACAGGTAGCCGACAATTTTCCCTGCATATTGTCATAGAAATAGCTCTGAGCTTATTCAATCATTAACTGAAAAATTAAGACACATCAGAAATTTCCAGGGTTAAAACTAGTTAATGGATATCATGTTAGTCTAAAATTTCGTACCCGCAAAGAAAACAGTGTTAAACATTGACGATATTATGATGTCAAAATAAAAGATTTAATTTCGGGCTCCCTGAAAATGACCGCCTGGGGCAGCCACTTGAAAAATGCACCTGTCAAAACGTTTGAATCCAAATCTCATATCAGCCGTTTCAATTAATGAATTCAATGAACGTTTCTCAATTAATTATTTCTGATGAATGACGCCTTTTAAACACACCAATTATGAAAGTTAAGTAGGGATCTTCGAGTTTATTTACGTCAGCTAAATTCGTATAAACGTTCTTTTCCGTTTAGATTGTTTTGCTCATGGCCTTATCAAGTTGAAACACCGATTCCCGTACTATCACCGAAGTTAAGCAACGTCGAACCTGGTCAGTAACAAGATGGGTGACAGCTTGGGAATAACATGTGCTGTAAG